TTTTCAAGTCTGTTCCGATTTGGTAACAGTTAAGATCCTTTGCTTTCTCTAGTGCCTCTTCTCAAAGCAATTGCCTCTCCCGTGAGGCTCCACTTCCTGCCTGATCAGCCTGCTCTGGCCCCCAGAGCTCCATTGTCCATTTGAAATCAGGCCAGCCCACCTTCTAAGAGCTCAGCCTTTCTCCCACACCATATTCTCTTGTTCTCCTGTCTTCTAAAGTTGTTTTCAATTCCCCAGTGCTCCTGTGCTGATTTTATTGAAGCATACTTTTTTAATGACTGCATTTCCTCCTTGATTTCCTGGGCAAGTCTGACTCCTAGACAGAGTTATTTCAAGGCTGGAACCTTAAATTGCCTGTGGGTTTGTAATAATTTCACTTAATTCTTTTCTTTCCAAACCACAAAGATAGCATATTATAATTATCTTCTCACATTCTTCTCTCTTCAACTTTTTAAAATTTATAATAGGCCTTACAATTTTAGATTTACAGAAAAACTGAGCATAGAAAGTTCCCATATACCTTCTTTCACACAGGTGAAGGATACTAATATCTTGCATCAGTGTGGTGCATTTGTTACAATTATTGGGGCAATATGTATACATTAACTAAATCCATAGTTCACAGTAAGTTTCATTCTTTGTGTCTTTTTTTTTTTGCTTATTTTGAAATAATTTTTTTTAACTTATGCAGAGATTGAAATAGTGGTACAGTTCCCTCTTTAATCAATTTCACTGAACCTTAACATCTTACACAATCATATTGCAATTACCAAACCAAGAAATGATCATCAATATAATACTATTTAACTACAGACTTCAGTGAATTTCAAGAGCTTTTCACTACTATCCTTTTTTGTCCCAGGATCCAATCCAGGATCTCACATTCCATGAACCTATAAAGTCTTCTTAGTCTCCTCCTCAGAAAATATTAAAGAATGTACCCAAATTCTAGGATTAATAAGTGAGTTTAACAATGTCACAAAGATACTAAAAAACCAATTTTACTTATACTCTAATAATTAAATATCTGAAAATGAAATTGAAAGAAACAATTCCACTCACAATATTAAGAATTAAATATTTTTAAATACATTTAACAAAAAGTACAAAATCTAAACACTGGAAACTACAAAACATTGCTGAGAAAACAACACAGAAATTCTGAGCCAAAGGAGAAATACACCATGCTCTTGGATCAAAAGGCTCAAGTGTTAAGATGGTAACTGACCTGGGGATTCAGTGCAATTCCTGTCCAAATCGCAACATGTTCTGAAAAGTAGAAAATCTGATCCTAAAATTTGTATCAAGAATCAACAAACCCAGGATTATCAAGAACAGTTAAGAAAGAACATAATTAGAGGAATTACACTGCCTGATTCCAAACCCTACTATAAAGTTGTAGTAATCAAGATGGTGTGGTGTTGCTTAAAGAGAGACACATCGATCAATGGGAAGAGAATGCAGAGTACAGGTATAAATCTACATGATTACCGCCAACTGATTTTCAACAAAGGCACCTAGATAATTCAAGGGAAAACAGTATTTCCAATAAATGGTGCTGGAACGTTGGATACCTACATGGAAATTAAAACGAGATTGCGCGGTACACCTATTAGAAGAGCTAAAATAACAAACACTGGCGACACCAAATGCTCGCAAGGATGGGGAGGAACCGGCTCTCATCCATTCAACTGCCCCTAACTTTTTAGGTCTGTTTTTGGATTCTCTTTTCTGTACCATCAATCTATATCCCTCTTTGCCATCTCTACATCGTCTTAATGACGCTTTATAATAAGCCCCAATCAGAAATTGTCCTTTGTTCTTCTTTTTCAAAATTGCTTAGGCTATTCTAGGTCCTTTGCATTTCCCTATGAATTCTAAATTCTAGAATCAGCTTGCTGATTGCTGCTTCAAAAAGTCTGTGGGGATTTTACTTGGAATTGCATTATATCTACTGGTCAGTTCTGGGGAAACTGACACTTAACAATATTGCATCTCCCAATCCCTGATCTTGGTGTATTTTTCTATTCCTTTATCTCACTGTATTCTAGGCATTGTTTTCTACATTTCTATGTACAGGTTCTGCATGTATATTTTCAGATTTACCCCTAAGTATTAACATTTTTGATGCTGCGGAAAATGGTATTTTTTTTAAGATTTTATTTATTTATTTGATAGAGAGAGATCACAAGTAGGCAGAGAGGCAGGCAGAGAGAAAGGAGGAAGCAGGCTCCCTTCTGAGCAGAGAGCCCGATGTGGGGCTCGATCCCAAGACCCTGGGATCATGACCTGAGCCAAAGACAGAGGCTTAACCCACTGAGCAACCCAGGTGCCCCGGAAAATGTTTTTTTTTTTTTTTTTTAAATCCAATTTCCAGTAGCTTGTTGCTAATGTGCAAAAAGATTAGTTCTAGCAGCATTCTGGTAGATTCCTTACACTATTTCCTATACATGTCACTTGGAAATGTTTCTTTCTTCTTTTCCAAGTAGTAAACCTTTTTTTCTTCCTTTATTGCTCAGTGACACATTGCACTAGCAGGTCTTCCAGAACAATGGTGGCTAGAAGTGAAGATAGTGGACATTCTGGCCCTCTTCCTTATCTTAGGGAAAGAAGTATTCATTTATCATTACAACATAAAGAGTAAGTTTCTCAGTCGTTTCCCTTTATATTAATGCAAATTCCTGTCCATTTCTTTTCTGAGTTTTTAATCATGAATAAATCCTGAAACATAAAATGCTTTTTCTTATTGAAATGAACATATTTTTATTTTGATGACATATTACATTGATTTTTTTAAATATTAAACCAAATTTGTATTCCTGTGGAACACTCAACTTAAATCTATTATCCTTACAATGGATCACCAGATTCACATTGCTAATATTTGGTTGAGGACTTCGGTGTCTATTCAGGAGGACCATGTATTGGTCTGTAATTTCCTTTCCTTTAGGTGTCTTTTCCTGGTTTGGCATGAGGTCAAAGTTGCGTCTCCAAAAGTTAAGTGTTCCTTTCTTCTCTATTTTCTGTCAGTGCTTGTGCAACATTGAGATTTCTTCCTTAACTGTTTCATAGAATTCACATTCAGGCCTGGAGTCTTGAGAAAACACTTTTAATTATGAATTCAATTTATTTAATTTCTTTGAGTCACTTTTGGTAATCTTTTGAGGAATTCTTCCACTTCAGGTAAGCTGTCAAATTTTATTGGCATATAACTTTATGGTCATATCTTTAAAAGTGGTTTGTTGGACACATAGTAATGTTCCCTTCTCCATTCTAATTTTTGATCAGTCTATGTAGGAGTTAACCAATTTTACTGATTAGCTCAAAGAACCATTTTGGTTTATATGGTTTCCCTATTGCTAGCATATTGTTTTTATTTTCATTTAGAGTATCTTCTGATTCTACTTAGAACTTTTCTGTCTCATGGTTATTTTACAGATGTGTTAATAATCTCCACTCATGGTCGGAGGTGGGGCGGTTTCCAGATATCCTATACAGATTTCTAGTTTAATTCCATTGTCACCAGAGAACATACAATGATTTCAATTATTTTAAATGTATTGAGACCTGTTTTATAGCCTATTATACTGTCCATCTTTCTGATTACTCCATATGCACTCGAAAAGGAAATTTCTGTTCTCATGCTGTTGGGTAGAATGTTGTGAGCCAATTAGGTCAAACTGAGTGTTCACATTTGTGTTCTATATCCTGATTTTCTACTTTTCTACTTTCTACTTTTCTAATTGATAGAACTACTTGTTCTATCAATTAGGTTTAAAGGAGGGTTGAAATACTGAATTCTAATTTAGATTTTCCCCATTTTCTACTCAGTAATATTTCTGTTCACTACATGTATTTTGACATCCTAGTAAGAAGCCTCTAAGTCTACTTTTTAATTGTAATTTACTATTTATTTTTTTCATGGACAAAAGGGAGAATGATAGAGATCTCTAAGTATAATGGTAGGCAACATTCTATTGGGAAGTGAAATGGAAAGGCAAAAAAGATTGTAAAAAAATACGACTGAAGAGATTATGCTGAGTGAAATAAGTCAAGCAGAGAGAGTCAGTTATCATATGGTTTCACTAATTTTGTGGCGCATAACAAATAACATGGAGGACATGGGGAGATGGAGAGGAGAAGGGAGTTGAGGGAAATTGGAAGGGGAGGTGAACCATGAGAGACTATGGACTCTGAAAAACAATCTGAGGGTTTTGAAGGGGCGGAGGGTGGGAGGTTGGGGGAACCAGGTGGTGGGTATTGGAGAGGGCACGGATTGCATGGAGCACACCCAGTGCTCCATGCAATCC